TCCGTACGATTATTTCACACTACCCATAGACCATAGTAATTAGTAGCTATGGATCAATTACCCATATTTTTTCATCATATTTATTTGAAGGACCATTCTAAAGTACACAAAACGTGGACACATACAATTTAACGTCAACTCTTGTCCTTTTTAAATGAATTGCTTGTGTACACAGACAACTTGATATCAAGTCCTGCACTTTTTAAAATGAATTGTCTGTATACATAAACAACAAGTAGATTTTGTGTTCAATTTGTGTACAACTCATCTACACTAAACATTTTTGTTATTTGAAACACTTCAAATGAAAAAACTGGAATATTACATTCATATATGAATGTGGTGTTTTTTTCAACATATTATCACTTCCCTTTTTAGATCTTAGTGTGAATTACTCTTACATCCCTCAATTAGGTTAAGTCATAGGGATATCATATAAAAGTATTTGGAAAATAGTGTTCCAACAAAACAATAACTTCTTTACTATTCTTACTTTTTTAAATAAGTGAAAACTTTATTTGGTAAACAACATTTCAACAAATAAATGTGTTTTGTGTTAGTGTTCAGAAATAGGGAATTGTCTATTATTAATCGTTATAGTTAAACAACTCAATTATCAAATACATACTATCTTTTTGTAATTCATCAAATTATTTCACAAGTAAAATTCGATAATTGAATCGCCTATTAACAGTACGATAATATAATCTCATGCCCGAAAGAAGACCATTCTTACAAGTTAATTCAGAAAATGTGGTATTCGGGAGTCCTTTTCTTGTCCAGCCGGCCTGACGGGGACCGCCGTCTGGCCGAGGGCATTTCGGGCACTTCTCGTTGGAATTTTTTGATGAAATTTTTTAAGCATGTTCTTCATGAAGTCTAGTTTATCCACACCGCATTTCAGCTCAAAATTCGATCGGGAAGGCATTCAAATAATTTTCTGAAGTTGACTGCGTCAAAGTATGCATATAAAACCCAGTCAACTTCAAAAAATTATTTGAATGCCTTCCCGATCGAATTTTGAGCTAAAATTTGGTATGGATATACTAGACTTGATGAAGAACATGCCAAAAAAAATTCATCAAAAAATTCCACCGGGAAGTGCCCGAAATGCCCTCGGCCGGACGGCGGTTCCCGTCAGGCCGGCTGGACATGAAAAGTCCTCATATACTCGGTATTGTGTTTCTAAAATCACAAATATTTAGAAAAATATTTGTCTAAAAAGTACTCCCTCTGGTTTTTAATAAACTTCACACTTTCCTTTTTGGGACAATCTAAAATAAACTTCACACTTCCTTATTTCCTTTTTTGGCAAAAAAATCTATATCAAAACAGTGTCAAACAGTGCCAAACAGTGTCTCAATAGTGCCAAACAGTGTCTCTACAGTGCCAAACAGTGTCAAACAGTGCCTCAACAATGTACTCTACAGTAAAGTCAAATTTCTTTTCTTATTTTGTGTGAAGTCAAACTGTGAAGATTAAAGAAACCGGAGGTAGTAAATTTTTATTGACTGTATATACCAATTACCAAGTACTCCGTAATACTTTGTATACAAATAGGTAACAATTAGAGTTTTGCTAGAGGTACACAAAATATGTACACAAAATGTGTATATATGTCTGTCCTTCACGAAAATTTTGTCTGTAACAGACAACTTATTTTGAAATGTCTGTGACAAACAAATTTGTTGTGAAGGACAGACATATATATACATTTTGTGTACCTTAACCATTTTTCTAACAATTATTACGGAGCATTACACAACAGTTTGGATAATGGGAAAAGCCAGTTGGCAAAAACTCACAGGGAATCATGTGTTCACTGTTCATGACTTCATTGAATGACCTCAGGGGTACATGAATGCGTAAAAGAATAAATCATTGCCACAAATAACAGTCTAAACTATTCCTCATTTTCGCATATCGGACTTGTCTATAAGGTTTTATACGGAGTAATTTTCTTTTACAATTTAGTATTAATAGAAAATGGAGAGAAGAATAAATACAACACATACTCCCACGGATGGATTTAGGGGGGGCGCGGGGGGCGACCGCCCCCCTTGGACATTCAAATTTTTTTACTATATATGTAATATTTTCATAAAACTTTCGTAATTTAATTAGATTCGCCCCCCTTAGCTTTTAATTTTCAAAGTTAGTATATAGTCTTACATAATGTAATACTTAATTGGAGATTTGAAAGAATAAACATCTAAAATAATTTACATAACTTAAACAAATAAACAATAGAGTAACTCGTTATTTAAGATTTAGGATACTTATTATATAAGAATTCCTAGTTTTGTAATGTTTAATTATCTTTATTAGATAACAAGTACTGGATTTTGTAAAACATATATCAAACAATATTAAATACCAGACACACTAATTACACAATTTTTAGATCACGTGAAATGAATCCAAAATACAAATATTTATAGACATTAGATTACATAATTCATTTACTTCTTGGTTTCTAAAAATAATTTATTGCATCGATTATAAACTTTAAATTATTATAGAATTAATAAAAATATTAAAATATAATATGCGCCATATATACGTGTGTGTGTATGTGGTGCACATTATTCTAAAAATAACAATCTCATACATACTAGTATACTACTATTGTAATATTAAGAAAACTTCTCATGAGTCATGACTCACGAACACCCTCCTTGGTGGACAAAAATTACAATTCAATAACCGATTTATGAGGTTAAACAATGTAGAAGTTATTAAAAATGTATTGGTTGATGTCTTTGTCATCGTCTAAACTTAAAATGTATTAGATTTAAATGTCGTTCGGGATGTGCATGTATTAATGTCATTTTTTAAATAAAAATAGCCGCATAGCCCCACAGTAGCGAAAAAATTTCGCCCCGCTACACTAGGGGAAAAAAATTCACCCCGCCACACTAACGAAAAAAAATTCACCCCCTACACTAACGAAAAATTTCGCCCCCCTTGACTCAGAATCCTGGATCCGTCCCTGCATACTCCGTATAAAGTGTGGTTAAAATTCTAAATGAATAAAATTTCTGGATGAAGCGACTAAAATTATTAAATATGTATAATTATGAAAAAAAAATACTTATAATATACACTCTATGTTCCATTTGACTTGTCTCATTGTCATTTTTGGATTATCCCAAAATTAGTGTAACATTTCATTTTTTTGGAAAAGAAGAAATGATGCACAACAATTCACTTTATTATACTCAAATCTCACCCACAACTTTTACTTTTTCAATTACTTTATTAAAAATTATGAAAAAAAACAAGACACATATAACAGGAAGAAGATAGTATTTTATTAATAAAATAAATAAAAACTTATGAGGATAACTAAACTTATCATCTATAGCAACTTCGATCAATTCAGTCATAAAAGTAACTTCAATCTTACTTAGAGCCTGTTTGATAAAATTGAACAACTGAATCTACCAAAATTGATGGACTTTTGGGTGAAACGACTGAATCTACTAAATTATGGAAAAAATATACTTTGTATTTAATATATATCTATATATATATATATATATATATATATATATATAGGGGAAAGATCAAGTACAAAGTGTGCTTATTGTGCAAATATTTGTACGATGCACCTTGACGTTATTTGCATTGCATATTGAGGTTCAAAGTATTGCACATTATAAAGTCATAAAAATAACAGTTGCACATTAAGGTGCAACGAGTTGCACCCTAAAAAGTTGGGTTTTATTACAAAAATGCCACCTTGCCTTTATGTCCTTTGGATCAACTCATCGGACGGTCAAGATGAGTTTGTACTTTGTAAATTAAGAAGGCTTTGTATTTGATCTCTATTCTATATATATATATATATATATATATATATATATATATATATATATATATATATATATATATATATATATATATATATATATATATGGAACCTAATTTCGTTGATAGTAATTTCATTCAAAAATAAAAAAAAAAACTACGTGTTTGACGAAAAATGGATTAAAGGCTGATAAACAAAAAAACAGGTTACTAAACGGATTCTTCTTTTGGTTGTTAGATAATTCAATGTGAAATCAGATTGATAAATAAATTAATTGATAAAACTAAGTAAAAACGTCTAACCAAACGGCTCTATTGATTACTCACTATTTCAATTATATCAAGGTGTTTGGTGTACGGCATTGCTTGATTCCTTGTTAATTAAGGATTTAATTAGTCGGATGGGCTGTACAATTCTGCATTATCTTCTCCATTATTAGGTGTTAACGAGTGTAGTTTACATTTGGCTAACATTTTCACCAAAAAGTAGAGATGTTTGTGCGGATTGTGCCACATAACAGCCATAATGTTTTGTAGACCCACGTCATTCTTAATGTATTCATAATTTCGAAAATTTAATAGCAAGCACATAAGAATAAGAATTTTCTTAAAACTTCTAACTTATGGATTATTAGTTCATAGACTTCATACGGAATATTAATATTCTTTTTCAACTTTTGAATGATCACTTTAAAAAATCACGGAGACACGGAGTAGTTTCTCTGTATTGTCTTTTAAGATATTCTCACATAGTCACATGATATTATCTGAAATGGGCAATTAAATTTGAAAGAAACACAGTCCTATCAACCGTATTCATTATTTAAAGTTAAATATTGATGCTGTTATTGATGTGCCCAACTGCAGAAAAGGATTAGGCCGGGACGGTTGAACATAGAATTGGACTGGAACCTGCCACTAATTTTGTGCGGACAGCATGCTGACATTCCTCCCAAATTGAACCCGGTCTGATTCTGTTAATCTGTTTCATTCAGGCTTCAACATAGGACCAGATTAAACCGGTCGAATACTACTCTACTTTTTTATTTAAAAAATTGGTTACGGAGCGGTCCAAAATGGCAAAACCGACCAAAAACCGAACAAAAAATGCCAGTTTATGGTTCTGGTTTCACCCTTCATGACTCGGAACTGGACCGGGGACACCCTTACACTCACGGTCATGTGCTTGGAAATGGTAAAATCAACTTCCATTGAAAAAAATTGTTTAATGTAGCAAGATGCAAGAACCCCTCTAAAGAAAGAAATAAAGAAAGTCAGTCAGTCCTTCACATCGGTTACACCTTCTGCAGAAATTTGAAACCTTGCTTCTGCTTCAGCTAAACACGGAGAGCTAACTACTTTACAAATGCGCTCGTCTCCCCTTCCCTTCCGAAGAGCCAGCCTGTCAGTCAATACATTGTTCGGGATCAACCATCCATAGCACATACGCTAAAAACGGACTTGTCACATTAGTTAATATGGAGTAACATTTAGGTGTCAATTAATTTACCTTGTTGTTGAAGCATGTGCCATTATGTTGCCACCAATAGGTTTGACCTGAGGTCCGGCAAACATGGCAGAACCGTCAACTTGGGAAACCACTTGGTTAGTAATCACAACTGCAACCCCAAACTGCACATTTCCAAAGCAGCACAAGTGATCAGTCATGAAGGAATCTTAAACTTCAGGGCCTGTTTGGCAGGATAAGAAATGGCTAAAAGTGCGGTTGAAATTGATGACTTTGCTAAATCTTCTTCAAGGAGTCTTCAAAATGAGGGCTAAAGTAGGCTGAAGATGACTTTGCTAAGTAGATTACAAATAAGGGAATATGCCACGATTAAGACAAAAAGACAAAAACATAACATTTTTTTAAAGATGACTATCATTGTTTTTTCCTTGATATAAGACTTATTCACTCCTACTAGAAAATTGATCAGCTACTTTTATTCTTTTTAGTAAGAAACAGGACAGTCTCTTTTGTGCATATGACCCGTGTTTTTTATCAGAAAATTGCAGTAATTTCTAACAAAAATAATGTGTAATAGAAGAGAGTTGAAGGGTAATTTATCTCTGTTTCAACCATTTCAGCCAAATAAGTAACTTCTGCACTAGTTCTATACATAGTAAACCATATCAGCTCATGCAACAATAGAAAATGTGGTGCTTGGTAGAAAATATGGCGGTCAAGCTTGTGGCACATAAACTGAAGCCACCTAACAGGCACTTAAGAAACATACTGATGCTACCTCATCTGCTAATTTCTGAAGGCTTCTTAAGAACCTCGCCAGATGCATTTGTCTGGATGCCAACTCTCCCCGCCCAGAAAAATCAGTCCTATAAAGTGCTGTAGAGCTATCCACAATCATAAGAGCAAACCTGTGTCCCAATTAAAATGTGACAAAAAATAGTTATTTTCTTTTAAAGACACACACACACATGCATAGGCACACATTTAGATTTCTCAATCTTTATATAAATAGAAACAAATTTAAGAGCTTAAACCAATATGTAAAAAGAATTTAGTGATTCTAAAAAAATCATTTATTTGATTAAAAAGTCCTTCAGAATTTCAACTCAATTACTTCCCTAGTACTTGTAGGTTCCAAAAATACCCTAGAGATCTAAAATACTATCCCTTCAACATAGAAAAAGGTTTCTTTGTGACGTGGCGCAAAAAGAATCTGGGAAACAGTTCTCTTTTCCAAATAGTCAATTACTATCATGAAAATATACATATATACCATCAGGGCCTCTAAATAAAATAGTGTACCTGGTCTCAACCATCATTGAGGCTGCTTCAATCAAAAGCCTAGACTGATGGTCAGTATTGTATGCTCTAGCATATGCAACATTCTCAAGAACATCAGCTCCATTCAATCCAAACCTGTAGCAAGCAAGTATAATTATTTCACACTATTTATTTTACATTTCAGATTTGCATTAGTATTGCAATTACATTAGTAGTAACTAAGATGCAGCGACAGATGTAATGAATGTAATGATAGATGACCTGTCTGCAATTTGCAAGAGTCTTTGTGGTCTGAAAGTTCCCTCAGCATCAATGTACATGGCCTTACCCTCACCGCCACCTTGGTCTAATGGAAGCTAAAAAATAGAAAGCATAATTAAGCATTTTTGCATTAATTCAGTGTTAAATAATTCTAAACTATTACTCCGTATTTGGCATTTGAGAATATAAACTTCATCACACACACACGCCAGAACTAAAGATTGTGAAACAAATAAACAATGGTCTCTTAATTTTGATAGAAACTAATCAAGATTCTAATAATTTCAACTTAATACGGATACCAAGCAGGCGGTCAATCTTACTTGGCAAGCAACACATAAAGTATGACAAAGCTGAGTCTTCCCAGAACGGAACTCGCCATAAATTTCAGTGATGGATCCTGTTTCGATCCCCCCTGCCAGTCCACATATCAAGTCCATAAGTTTCAGTAGTGTATTATAACAAACACTTGCAATCTTTAAATTCTAGTATGCTGGCCACAAATTAAACCCTAACCTTCCAAGACTTTGTCAAGTTCTTTTGATCCTGATGTTATTTGAATGATTTCAAGCCTCTGTGCATGGAGTTGGCTTGCACTAGTGAACCCCAAAGGCACCAATTTTGAAGCTGTTGGTATTACCGTGTTAGTATAGATCAGTTCACTAGAACAGGGTGTGGTCATAACAAGATTTGTAAACAAGACTAACCTGCTTCTATAATTTTGTCCACTTTAGCTTCACTGATTCCTTTGATTTGCAAAAGATCCTTTCTAGGAGAATACACAACCGATTCCACGGTAAATATACCCGCATCCTTAAGTTTTTTTATGTCGGTGGCTGATATTCCAGATTCCTACAATACAAAGACATTATTGGAACCCTAAATTATTCAATCTGAAACGCACTTCCGGAAGGATCGAAAATAACCAAATCCTACACCGAATGCAAACCCTGAAATTACCCATCGTGAAAAAGAAATTTGATACTAGGAAACATACCCAAAATTCATGGATAAGAGGTACCTTATCCCCACATGAAATAAATCCCGAAGATAACAGAATCTTGAAAATCCAAAAGGATTTTTATATTTTATTTTTGAACAAAAGATTCAGATTGGTGCGAAAACCTGAAGTTGCTCGACTGGGAAAGGGCCATGTTGAATGTCATCAACATCATCTTGTTGTTCTTGCACATTTTTTTGCTGGTTCCTGAGCTGCTGCTCCATTCTCGCTCGAAACTGGCGCGGACCGTTTTCGCCTTCGCACGACGGAGAGATACGAAATAAGATTGTGGAATGTAGTCACTAGTTAGAGTTTAAAATTATATCCGGGCGCCAAATACCAGATCGCAGATGAATGCGTACGAGACAAGCTTCGGAAGCAATTCCAGTTTTTTTTTCGGAAGCAATTCCAGTTTAGGCAGGAAGTACAATCCAAACTTGAGGTACACGTTTTGATACACACCTACACACTCAAGTTTGTGAAGAGATTTTTTTGTCTGTATACAGACATAACATATTTTCAAATACGTTGTCTGTATACAGACAAAAAAAACTCTTCACAGACACAAGTGTATAGGTGTGTGTATGAAAAATGTGTACCAATAACGTAGGAAGTATCGTTACTCCATCTTACTGTTCTTACACATGAAAATTACAAAGAACATGAATTTGTATTTAAATCCATAAAGTACATGTGCTCTGTCATACTCCCTCCGTCCCGGAAGAAAGAAGTTCACCATTGGTTTTCACACATATTAAGGAAAGAAATTTACTGAGGTAAATTTTATTGTTTTGATATAAATAATTTGCTAAATAAGGAAAGGTAAACTTAATTCAGAGACTACCCAAAAAGGAAAGGATGAACTTGTTTCAGGGACGGAGGGAGTATAAAATAGTTGATCCGACCAAACTATCCGATAACAAATAAAAGAAGAGGTTGGAGAGCATACGGGAGAAAAGGCAGAGCGAATGGGAGAAAAATAATATGAAAAGCGGAGGGAAGAGCAGATGGTAAAATATAAGAGGCCGTTTGGTAACACTGTTTTTCGGCTTATCAACCAACTTTTTCACCAAATACAAAACTTTTGCTCTTGCGCGCTAAATTGTGTAATAAGCAGAAAAAATAAGGTTGGAGTTACTTTTCTGGCTGTATTGGCAGAAGTTACTGTAGATGACCATTTTAGCTATTTTTCCATATAATTTTTTCTTTATTTTATTAATAAAATATATTTGATATATTTTAAAATAATTTTTCTTAAATCAACATAATCAGCCAATGCAGCCACTTCAGCCAGAATTTCATATATTTCAGCAGAATCAGCCAAAACAATCGATTTTCGTGCTACCAAACGGGCTCTAAGATGAGCGAATGTTGAAACGAGTGGACAAGAGAAAATGAGAGTTTATAGATTATTTATTTGATAACCTGGACTACAACGGTATAATAAAAACAGATAGTTTGGCCAGGTCAACTATTTTAACGTTATGACAGAGCAAATGTACTTAATCGACTTTAAAAAAGAAAGTGCATGTACTTTGTAATCTCATGTACCATTTTGACAATTTTCCCGTATAAGAAGTGTTTGTTTTTTTAAAGAAATTCATCGAACAAGTGCCATATTCGAAGCAATTGAGTAAAACCATACATCACGAAACTGACACAAACACACGTAAACCAAAAGTAAGAGAAATTGTTAAACAAAACATATACCTAATACTATGTATACAACTTGAAATAAAACAAAACAAAAAATAATAGGTATCCAAATCTCAACTTGAATTGTCATCGTTCATACCCTAACAACTCAATAATAGAACGAAACATCAATACTTCATTTAAAAATTGAAAGGAACTACGTCACTTTGAGAAGAATTCACAATCATCACTTCTTCCGCTATTGTTAGTCTTTCGCACAGTAGCTCCAATTCAACTTTCTCTTCATGGTCGTGCTCCATACTCACCTGTTTCTTTTGTGAACTCATTCGGAGGAGTTTGTATTTGACACCTTATATATAAGGGATTCATGGTACCATGGATTAAGACCATGGCCCAATTACGTAGTCCAGCCCATACACGGAATCAGCCCTTAACGGGACCAGTCTAATTACAGGATTAGCCCATAAACGGGATCAACCCTTAAAGGGATCAGCCTAATTACAGGATTAACCCATAAACGGGATCAGCCCTTAAAGGGATTAGCCTAATAACAGGATCAGCCCATAAACGGGATTCATGATTGAAAGTCGCTTAGCCCATTAGGAATTAGGCCCACGATAGGAACCTGCCACCAGGCCGGGCTGGACAGCAAACCTCGAGCCTGGGCGGAGTTCTAGTGAGGCCGGGATATTCCTAGGGCTTACGTGGCGAGCTATCACTCGTTGATAGATATTTGGCAACAGGCAGAACTCATCCGGAGGACGACGACTAAAAGGGGAAAGCAATCGTGTGGGAATCAAGCATCGAAGAGTTCTATTTCGAGCAAGAATATAGTTCATTAATTGAGCATTTATTGTATTAGATTCCTCCCATAATTCTACCTCCTAATCTCTATAAATACTTGATGTAAACACCCTACCAAGGGACCGGACCCCCGATAAGATTCTGAACCGAGGCTAGACTATTGCTAGTTCTCCGGAATAAAGATTAAAACTGCCTTACGCTGCCATATTATTCTCATATCTACGCATATTTAGCTCTCGTAGTTGGATTTAACTCCATCATTTGGTGCTCTCGTTGAGAGCCGAATATATGAAGCAACGATGGTTGTATCAAATAGCAATAATCCCGTTGGTAGTAATCAAGGTGGAGATCGTTTCAATCATGTTACGGTTGAAGATGAAGGGTCAAGGTCCCGAAGGAGCGATTTTAGGAGGCGCAACGACAACGCTGCCACATAAGGCGATTTGAGGAACCAGATTCGCGGTGTGGGGAATCCTAGGGACCCGGTGGTGCGTCCACCGCAGTTCCAGACGCCGGGTATTGGGCATAACATCCCTGCCATGGATCCCACACAGGCTTTGGCGAGTTTGGCCACGTTCCAGAGGGCAGTGGAGACTTTGACAACTGCATTCCAAGGTATCATTCCGAATACTACTGGGAGACTTCCTTCCCCTCGTCGGGCTCCATCTGTGGCTCCGCGAGGAGAAGAGAACTCTCTCCTACGCATGAGGAATTCTCCACCAGCCCAGTCTCAGCGCTCCCACCGATCCAAGGCAACTCCCAGGACTCCGGTGGTAAACCGGATAAGTGAGCAAAGGATTTCTGTTCATGATAGACTCTCCTCTAGGGTTGAGCACAGTGAGGGGGCCTCTTCGGCTGCCGTTTCGTCCCGTCTCCGAAGTGCGCAAAGGGGAGATCTCAGGAATGAGATCAACGCGAATAGGCAAGCCCGAAGAGATCGTTGGTCTCCAGTGCGCCCTCAAGTCGGCCATAATAATACCGACCTCAGGAGAAGGTTTGACGAACTCAGAAGGGAGATGGAAGGAACATCAGGTCTCGAGCATGGCGTGCGAATTCTCGAGCCTTTTACTAGGAAAATCATGGAGGCACCATTGTCTCAGGGATACCGGCCATGCAACATTGAGGCTTACAAGGGAAAGACGGACCCTCAGCACTACGTTTCCAGGTATGTGGCTTATATGGTCATGATGGATATGACGACGCTATAAAGTGTAGAGGATTCTCGGTAACCCTAGACAGGCTAGCACGGGAATGGTACGACTCTCTACCAGACAGAGGGATAGGGAACTTCCGGGAGTTGGTTCACGCATTCGTGACGCGTTTTGCCACCTCCAAGGATTCCAAGAAGAATGTCTCTCACCTTCTGGGAATCAAATAGGGCTCCCAAGAAACCCTGATTGATTTCCTAGATCGTTGGAGAGAGGAGACAGTCAAGGTAGAAGACCTGGATGACAAGTCTGCTGTAGCTATCCTCACCAATGCTCTGAGGTCGGGCAAACTATATATATACAAAGACTTTATACGCATGTCCCTGACCTCCCACGAGGAGGCTCTGTTACGCGCCAAGGCACTAGCCGAGGTTGAGGAAGCCGAGAAACGAAAGAGAGACGAGGAATCAGGGAAGTCTCAGCCTAATGGCGAGAGAAAGAAAAGCTCAGATAAAGAAACTCATGACCCGGAGAAGGGGTGAGGAGTCAAAAAGAAGAAAAGAGGCTGGGGAAAGGGCAAATCGAATGTTCCAGAGAGACCTTTGTCGAGCCAACCTAAATTTCCAGTTGATACCGTCCTAGACTGTGCGGCAAAGCAAGGCCTGATCACAATCCCTGAGGGATGTAACGTCGTCAACGGTCAAACTTCCAGGGGTGAGTTCTGTAAAAATCCACAGAAGCGATACCCATGAGACTGACGAATGTTACTTCCTGAAGACATATGTGGAAAAAAATGGCCCGCGACGGACAGTTGGAGCAACTCATGAAAAAAGTTCAGCAGAATCAAGACCCCCATAAAAGGAACACCTGGAGCCGGGGAAAAGACGAGCCAGCCTCTACCTTGAAGAAAAGGGAGGTTGGAGCCCAGTTCGAGGATGATGAAGAGGGGGAAGATTCAGGCCAGCAAAAGCGCCTGCATGTCAACCAGATCTACGGCGGACCTGTGGGAGGAGATACAGTGGCAGAAAGGAAAAAATGGAATCGCCAACTCTTTGTGGGAGAGATCAGCCGCCTTCCTGCGGACAAAAAGCAGAAACGGGAGTCCATTGTCTTCACAGACGATGCCTTGCCTCTATGTCCTCCATCGCACAGAGACGCATTACTGATAAAGATGGAGGTTCTTGATGCCATTGTCCACCGAGTCCTGGTGGATAATGGGAGTTCAGTAAACATTTTGTACATGAACACCCTTTAGGAGATTGGCCTTCAAAATGCAGACCTAAAACTGGTCAAAACCCCACTGTCAGGCTTCACAGGAGATACCATTGAACCTGAGGGGCTTATCACCCTCAAGATCCAGCTCGGATCGGAACCTTGTGTAAGGACTGTCGAGACATATTTTGTGGTTGTGCGGCTGCCAAGTGTACACAAAGCAATTCTTGGCCAACTTCTTCTAGAAGACCTGGGGGCAATCATTTCCCAAACTCATTCTGTGCCTGAAATTTCACACCCCAGTAGGAGTGGACACAGTAAAGGGAGACCAAAAAATGGCCAGGAGTTGTTACGTGAGGGCTTGCAAGGCCCACGGAAGAAATGAAGCAAGAGTAAACGCCATCGAGCAGGATTTGTCGAAATTTGAGGAGGGGCAATTCAAAGCCCAGCCTGTTTCGGAGCTTGAGGAGGTCAGAGTCGATCCAACCCGGCCAGAACGCCGGATTAAGATTGGTACAGGGCTCCAGGCCGACCTGAGAGCGAAAATAATCCAAGTCTTGGTGGAATTCAGGAAGATCTTTGCGTGGGGGCCTGAAGACATGCCGGGACTCGACCCCAGTATAGCAGTACATCATCT